GAACACTTTGGATTCCCAGACTGTGACTGGGGAAATAGGACTTTTTAATTTTTATTATTTGTTATACATTGGGTATCAGATGATAGGAAGACTTTTTCATTCCTGTCTATACATCTCTCTTGATTATTAATATAAGAGAGTTTTAAAACTGTATTATCTATGTCCCACACCTATCCCAGCAGAAAAAGCTGACAGGCTGAGGAAGAGCAAGGTTGGTTCCCATGCAGGTAAGAGAGCAATTAGTGCCCACACAAATAAATTAGGTGCTGTAGCACCACATATTTTGCTAGGTAACAAGCCTTTCTCTTCCCTGCAGTGGCGCAAAAGCTAGCATCCCAAAGTTAGTCTTCCTTCATTTGTTTCAGTGGGCAAAAGCTTCTGTATTTTTTTCTAAGAAATTGGCTTCATATTTCGAGACATTATTTTTGTTGGTCCTCAACAAGTGAAGTCTATATTTTCAGTAACGAGACTTCATTCATTTTTTTTAAAGCAAAATTGATTTAGTATTCTATGAAAAGGAATTTAATTTCTAAGTATGTAACTTTTAAAAAATGCATAGACACACCCCCCAAATGTAACAAATCTCTCCCCACAACTGTTCTGTATGTTTAGTACGCTAGAGAAGGAAAAGAAGCCATGTCCAGTCACTTCCAGTAACCTTATTTTTTCTAGAAGGGTCTTACTTCAAAGAATAGCAAGTGAGAAACTGCTTCCCATTTTATCTTATCACAAGAACAAAAGGACACACATTATTCTGAATTTCATAGATGACTTGCAAAAGCATTAAAAATGAAAGAAAGTCCATGACAGCAGCCCAATAGGTATCTCATTAATTCTGAAGACCTACTATTAAGAAATTAAGCCACTGTCTAATAAAATCACTCAGGCAATTTGACACCCATTTATCAATCCTCCTCAATTCTGAATTGCTTCTAGTATAGTAGTAGTACTGTGATGTTACCTACCTGGTCCAAGGAACTGGCACCCTCTGGCTCTCACTGCAGCCCAGAGGTTGGAAGAGAGCTGCTGAGGATTTTGATGCTGAAGAATGAGTTCTGTGACTGTTCTTTCACCAAGCGACCGCGCTGCACGCATGGCTCTGATCCGCCCTTCTTCCTCCACTAGCTGGCAGTGAACTAATGTCACAAGTTTCCTTTGCATGGGACGACTTAGCACGCTCTGAGTAGTACTGTTAAGACCCACACCTTCAAAACAAAATGAAGCAGAAAAACAAACTACTTCATATCTCCTGTTCTTCTGCCTTTTCTTCAACCACTGTACTGCAGAAGTGCAAACCTAGTTCTCCTGATGGCCACTTTGTTAAACAGAACACTAGAGAAGGCATATCAGAAGTTCATTTTTGTGAGTTTGTTTTACTCAGCATTAAAAAGCAAACTTCCTAGGAGTCAGCTTTCCCACAGGTTTAAGTCTTGTGATTGACTTGATTTGGCTCTCTAAGAAGGTGGAACCTCTAATGAATTCTCTCCCCATGTTGGAAGTCTGTCTTGCACCCTCCCGTACAGATTCCCAGGTGACTCCTCAAGGGTAGGATCATACTGCAGTCCCTCCCTTATTTGTGGGCTTTAAGGATCACTGCCTTCTTTGACCATTTGTCTGTTTTCACAAGACATTTAGTTTCTTATTTGTATCTGGTACCTTCACTGCTTTGGCCTAGTCAAACTGAACTTACAAGTTCAAAACTGCTTGGGTGATGTTTAACTATGTGCAAAAACTGTGATTCACTAATGTGCTGGGAGCCATGGAAACCGGGTTAAAGGAACAAGTGACTCGCTAGACATACGGCTGCCATACTGAGTTTGTTCTACAGCACAGAGCTTGTTCATTGGGCCACTACTTCTCAGAACGATACTGCTATCACACCGTACTAGTTGGAAAAGCTTGAGACACTTCGCAAAAATTCATTTTTGAAAACCTGATGCCCATGATGCTCACCTCTACTACTTGGGTTGACAGATTTTTCAAGTCCACCAAATATAATATACATAAAATCCATACTCTTGAACCCAGTGCAGTTTTGCTAAATTAGAATTACTCAGATTGACCCAGCTCTTGTGTAAGATCTTGTATAAACAGTATTACTTATTTCTCTTATATATCCTATATCCAGTAACTTTCTCATTTCAGTTTATTCCTCCCCTACAAACAAGCTGCCTTACTACAGTTATCTCAAAGCACAGCAGAACTAAAAAAAAAAAAGCAAAAAAGCAGTATTATCTATTTTTACTTAGTCTGCAGAGGTCAATTTAACTTAAAAGTTTGAACTTACTATACTGTGGCCAAATACCTCAGCCTTTTCTCAGTACTATTTTTGACACAACACCTTTAAATACTCCCTCCACCCCCCCATCCCCCCTGTGAAGACATAACCTTAATGCTTAGGAAATTTGTTTCAATTTGTTTTTGAACTACATTTGTAACCATTTTTCAAACAGACTAACTAGTCATTTGCATAGTTTGCTTTGCATCTTATTTGTTTCCAGCTTTCATTTTCAAAATGAAACAATGCAGGAACTACCTCTCGCACTGCTGAGTGGTTTGAGGTACAATGCTAATTCTTCCACACATTTCTTGCCCTCCTCATAATGCTTGGTATCTTCAGCTCCGCTACATAAAGTAATTGGTTGCTGCTCAGGAACCTGAAAAGAGATGACATGTACATCTATGATGAATACGCATAAATAAGTGGCAGTCATGCTTACAAACACCACATCAAGCCTGTTAATACGAAACATTTCCTGTTTTGTTCCCCTTCTGTGTTTCTTCTATATTAGTAAGCATTTTTTCAGCTTGTTCAATGAACAAATAGCATAAAAAAAGGAAATCAGTGAAAATGAAGGAAAAAAAAAAGTAAAGAGTTTATGGTTAATAGACTTCTTTTATTTAGTGGCTGACAGGAACTAGAAGCAGAAGGCTTATTCCATGACAAAAAAAAAAAAAAAAACATGAGAAACATGGCATTTCTTATAACTATAAAACTTTGGCTGAAATAACACACATGTTGAGACATTGCCAAAGCTGGCTGGTCAAAAAAATCAGAACAAATCAGACGAACCCTGGTTTGCAGGTAAGTACAGATTCAGATCTAGGGCCTCACAGCTCTAAAATCATCCAGGGATAAGCAATTGGAGCTATTTGGATTAGTGGGAGAAAGACTTAACAGCAAATATACTAGGACACCCTGGGAACATATTCTGACTAGGCCCAGTTATCAAGCAGCAAGACCAAGTTATCCTACACTGTGCATATGAACACAACCTGCAAGTATTAATCTGACAACACAGGCCAGTTACATTCTTGGGTTGGTTTTTTTTTTTGGTGGCATTTATTTCTTCATACAGGCATTCATCAGAAATCAGGATTTTTCAAAGGAATGTTGGACCACCCTTCCCTCCAAGTTATAATTTTGGCTTTTGTTTCCTCCAGTTAAATTCTTAAAGCTTTAAACAAATTTGGGGGTGCAGTATAGCACTACACTAATGTTTCTCAACATCACTATTCAGCAATCAACTCAATATATGACAGTATAGAGAACTGGAATTTCTCAGAAGACTAAACACAAGCACTTTTTGCATATGCTATTGAAGTGCAAACAGATCTCAGAATTCAGTTACTATTTCCAAGTCAATCACTATCCCACTGGCAATAACAGCATGCTAATCTCACATAGCTGCTTACAGGGATCAACCCAGGCCCTCAATCTAAAAGTACAAGCCTTTAATGCTTGAGTTAAAGACAGCTACAAACCCGCTAACCTTCACGTGCAACCCAGCCATGTAAAGAGTAGCATTATGATGGCAGCAGCAAATAAAAGCAGTGAATATATATAAAATATATACACACACACACACACACACGGTTGCCACCACCAACGTGGACAGAAGCTTTCCTATCAATTTTAATAGAAAGTAATGTTTCAATCATATGAACACAATTCTACAGGCTTGGACAGCTGTGCGTGCCAAGTTGCTCATTTGACACATTGCAAAACAAAAAGTTACTAGCTGCATAACTCTTGCTTTTACAGTAGGTGACAAAAAAAGTCTCCAAGTGTAACATATAAGCCACAATTAAGAGAGCTGATACCACCCCAAAAGTAACATCGTCAAGATAGCCTGGATCAGACACCTTCCCTTTTCCTATTAAAAGGAAAAACAAAACCAAGTTTAATCACACCAAGAACCAAGGTTAGCCTGGATGCTTTTCACAGACTGCGGTTAACTTGAATTGGGTGGTGGTGGTGGTTTTGTTTTAATTTTGGGATGGGGTGGTGTTTGTTTGGGGTGTTTTGTTTTTTGTTTTTTGGGATTTGGGTTTTTTTCTCTGTAAGCAAGAAAGCTTTCAGCAAAAGGAAATTTTGCAACTGTATCTTACAGTGGTCAGCCATAACTGTTGCAATAGCAACAGCCTCAGCTGGACTGGTTTCTTGGGATTTGGAAAACAAATATTAACACCTGCAATATTTGCTTTCATGTTAACAGAATACTCCACCTCCTTTTCAAAGCCACTGCCATTTTAGCAGTCTGCCCCTGTCTGGGACGTTATACAAGCAGAACTGGCTTATTGATCAAACAAAGCGCATATCATGCATTTGTGCCGAGACAGAAACCACACAGCCTCTGCCCTATTTCCTGCTGTAATACATTTTGTGCAAATTCCTATTTACTCCTGCAAGCATTCAGTCTGGCACTGGTGACAACCTGAAATATAACCACACCGTCGTAACACCCAGCAGACAAAGAGGGCTTGCAACAGACGTGGGACAGGAAGCCGTGTTCAGCCCCGGATTTCGATCTTGAATTGAGGTAGGTTTAGCACACATTCACAGCAGCGGTTTGGAATGCCATACACAGCACAACTCCACCAGCGAGACACAAGGACTGTCTAGGCAGCTAACAGAAAGCTTCCCCCTCCCCCGGGAAAAAGCTGGCATAGAAAAACTTCCAAGAGTTAATCAAGCTATTCAACACCGTATCTGCATATCATTCCCATTTGTTCTCTTTGCAAAGGAAGCTTCAGTGTAAAATCTAAAAGCCTTGCACAACTGTACTGTTTGCAAAATGAGCCCAAAAGAGATTAGAGTTTAACTTTCATCTTAACCTGGAGCAAGTGTAGTACTGAACAATAAAACAAGATGCTTATTTTGTGGTTTTGGGAGTCTTCAGGAGAAAAGAATGTATTTCTCCACACACACACACTTCATCTTCACTCATGTGATGCATCTCACAGTAAAACTTACAAATATTTTGCCCTTTTGCTGGTTCTACTACATGCACTTCCAAGACTTTTTTAACATTTTAGGGTTAGAACGATTATAAGAACAGCATCAACCAAGAGAAAAATGGTAAAGACATGATTCATAGAAGTCACAGGAGATCTGAATTTTAATTTTGGCTCTGTCATGGAATTGCTGAGGGACAACTGAGAAATAATTCAACTCCAAAGCATTTTCACTTCCCCTTCACAAAATATCCTTTCAATAGCATGCAGGACCCTATGGTCACTTCTGTTCACAGTGCCTCTTGAGAGCCTCAAAATAGATGCCCTGCAGAGTGAGAGCATTACTTTCATCCTCAGTCAATATATTCCATTCTCTCAGATGCCACACTCTTATCACAGTTTTCACTGCAAATATATTTACATAATATAATAAACACTTCCCATGGGGGACTAGTCCAAGACAGGAAAAATAATCTCATACTTTAAATTCACGATCATTTTGCATGCATCTGCCTTGGTAATGACTGTGAGTATCCTGGCAGTGGAATGCTGCCCATCAGCTTGACTACTTGTGGCTGCGGGAAGAGGCAGGTTATGACGGCATGAGGAAGGGCACTGGAAAAAAATGCTACAGCATCATCTCATACCAGGCAGCGATTTTGAGTTGGTGATTTGATGTGTAATTTGAAGTGTACTTTGATGAAGGATGTCAGCTTGAGTTGTCACTAATTACCATTAGACATCTAATTGCACAGAATGAGAACATGTTAAACAGAGCAAACCCCTTTTTGTCTGGTTTGAAAACTGTTTCCCCCCCATTTCCCCCTCCACAAATGGATGATTTGCTTCCTGCCAAAAAAAAACCCAAAAACCCAAACAAAACCAAAAACCTGTCTTCAGTTCCCCAAGAGTTTGTACTAAGGACAACTTCTTCACAGATAATTCCTCTTTTGTGGCACCTCTTCTCACCAAAAATTACAATACAACATTATCAAACATGCCGCTAATATCTCCGCAATTGTTATCTTCCCCTTTTGAAAGGGCTGCGAGTTAAAAACACTCCACCCGTTTTCTCATCATACACACAACTCCATTGCCTAATGACTAGAATTGTATTTATCTTGTCCAGCAGGAGACTATGGAAGAAATTAAAGCACCACAAGAATTTTTGCCACTTAATGTCACCTGTTTGGAACGTGCACACTGCTGTTTCATATGTTAAAAAAACAGGAGGGAAGACATTAGATGACAAATCCATGATTATGCACCTTGAAAACACTGGCCTGGTGAATGTTTAAAGTAGTTGCATATAGTGAGTAATATGTGGATGCTTGAATAGTTAAAATTCAAAACCTCCTTCCCATAGAAACTAGCTTAAGGGACTTCTTTACCCGAGAAGTTTAAAAAGCAAGGTATCCCATGAATGCCTTTTTGATTTGTGTTCAAGGCCATTGTGCCTCCCTTCCCTCACAATACACTTAGCTCCTGCTTAGGCACTGAGCTATTTCCAGCCCTCCCAGGAATAATAATTCTCATCTTCCCCTTATAATCCCTTCCCACTGCCATCATCTTAAGCAGCTGAACTTATGTGGGCTGAATTGCCCGACCACTGCCTTCCATAATAGACTCTGTAACCACTGCTGATGTGTACCATGCTACAGCAGGGCAGCAGAAATTTGAGTCTCTGCAACAATTAATTTTCACATCAAGTGTGGCTATAACCTGGGCAATATGTTTCATTTTTGGAAAGGGGGGGGAGAGCTAAGATGGAGAAACAGCCTGTAATTCAAGTAAGAAACCAACTCTTTTCTCCATTAAAGTGACAAAACCTACACAGAGAGACAAATGCTATTGTCAGACAAATAGGTTACTGCTTCCCTGGGTGCCTGTGTGACAAATTTAGTACATTTTCCCCAGAAGTACAGTCCTGCTTATTTCACCCATTGTGCCTGCTCGAAGAAAGCCAAGCAACGTGACTTGCCCTGGAATCCTATCCTTGCTGCCAGTCACAGCAGAATTGTTTTGTTTCTTCAAACTGCCTGGTCTCCTCCTCTGCCTCCAGCAAAAACGCGCTTAACACTTACAAATGTGTGAACTTCTCAGAAGCCTCCCCAAAGGGAAAAGAACAAACTGTTCTTTTTCCCCCCAGATAAAAGCTTTAATTGTGTTGCACTGTATTTCCTTCTAAAACGAAACCTGTTTTTTGGAATTTATCATTTAAAAATAAAGTATTACACATCTCCATGGACTCAGGTTAAGGTGTACAAGGGTCTGTTGGAGATTAGGGGATGTTAATGACATATACACCCTCCTGAAACTAAATCAAGAAGTGGAATAAGAAAATGGGCTTTGTTTCATTGAAGTTGTTGATAGTACTCATGCTTCATAAGCTGGCTTGCTGCTCACAGATCATTTTTATTGATATGTACCAAAGACAGCCCACCTTCTTAACAGGACAGAGTTCAAAATTACTGCAGTTTCTCTAAAGTACTTTTTTTTTTGGTCTTGAACCAAGCCTTTTTCTGTAAAAAGATAAAAAAATGGCCTCAGAAAGACTAATGGAAAATAGCAACTGTTTCCCTGTCCATCACAGCAAAGTAGCGTACTTATTTTCTAGTACTCCATAGCCTGGTAAACACTACAACAGGTGCTAGGAAGGGAAAGGGAAAGAAGAGAAAGGAGGGTGAGTTATACTGAACACTGATTTCATTCACACCCTCACTGAAATTAGGAGCTGGGGGGGAGGTGGTACAAATTTCTCTTAAGGGGAAAGTTTGTCAGTAATAAAAACCCAGCTAAGATCACCGATTATTGTTTAGGTATCAGAATGCAGAGAGCAGCATACACACAGGAATGAGTGGCAAGTGAGGGGGAAGGGAATACCGTCTCTTTTAGTGGCATTTGCAGCTTTAAGGTCACCATGAAACAAGGTCCCAATCTTGATCACATAAAAATTTAAGATATAAAAAGGAGCACAAAAATTATGTCATTAGTTCAAAGTCTGAACCTAGAGTTCAGAGCGCTCTCAAGACAAATACAATACTATCATAAAGCCACTCTTCCTTCTTCATACCTCACGCACATATAGATGAGGAAACTGGTTGGCTAAGGAAACTCTAGTTGGCTAACTAGCAAAAACAGAATAAAATTCTCAATTACCTGTAACAGAGGCAGGGTGATTTTCCATCTCATTCCAGAGGATCTTGTTTTTATGGAAATTTTAATTCAGGCAAAGATCAAGTTAAAGCTATCACATAGCTTCTCACAAAGCTTAACAAATGCACACAAAACAACCAAAAAAATGCAGGAGGAAAGACTTTTACATCATAAATGTGGACATTTGGATACAGCTGGAACTATTCTAGAAACTCCAGAAAGGAAGGAAGAAGATAAGGGAGAAAGAGAATTACAATATTTATTTATGACATCACCCACAGATTTCACACTGCTTGGAAGCTCTTCAAAGATGGTGGCTTACATGTATCACAGAAATGGAAGCATGCAGTCTCATCACCCTCTCCTGCAGTGCAGGATGAGTCACTTAACACAGCCAGAAACACAACTCAATTTTAAAACTTCTGATATAACTTCTGTACCATACACCGCAAAAGAACAACAACAAATAAGCCATATTACTTGATAAACCAAACGAAAAAAAGAAGTGGCAAAAGCACATCTGGATCTCTAGGTCCCAGTACCTAATAAAAAGCATCATAAGAGCATCTTTCTTTCTTCCACATCTTTTAAAGTTCCTCAAAAACATAGCTCTTCCCTTTCCCCTGAACTATAGATCTCACTGAATTTCCCGCTGCCTCCAACTCCGCTGAGCCCAGACACAGAAGCAGAACAAAGGAAAACAGTAACCCCCTCTACGGTAACTGCATCCCATCTACATTTTTGTTCCTCACCCGTAAGTTAGACATCATTGTCCCTCCTCTCCCCAAGTCCACAATCCTGTCCAGCCTTGGGAGGTATGGGTCACAGGAAACTACCAGTGATCTAACCACGATAAGCTTATGCCAATTTACGTCTGTGCTGCAACTGAACAGGGTATTCCCGCTTTCCACACATCCCTGCCCCTTTCCTCAGGCTGCCATCAGTACCAGTGCTGCTGGAGTACTCATCTCCATCAGATCACCTCACGAGTACCCATTCCAGCAGAAAGGGGAGTCTCGGGCAGGCTCCTCCCATTCACCTACATAGATTTAGATTAACATGTCAGCTCAGGAAGTTACATTTCCAGAGCACAGTTTCAAATTAAACATAAGGCAGTATAAAGGCTGCTACCGGAGGGTCTTGTCCCACTTCCCTTACTCTCTCCTCTGCATTCGGGACAACCGATCACCAGTTCGTAGAGTGAATATGGTAAAGCAAGTAACCTACCACAGAAGAATGACTTCCCACCAGATAAGCTCACTGATCCAATTCATCCTTTTGGCAGAGCATGGCTAGATATGAGTTAGGGAAGAAGGAAGGGAACAGAGTCAACCCGTTCCGGTGACAGCCCACAGTTACACTAAATTAGATGTAACAAAATCACAGTCAGCGACTGGTAGAATCAAGATTTGAACTGTTGTTCCAGGCACCTCTACTACAGCATGTCTAAAACCTGTATTCACCAGAGTCAGCCTACAAAAAGGTAGATGTCTACTCTACACACCATTAACACAGAGTCATATACTTTATTCATGACTTGTCCTCCTAAAAGAGAGAAGGAAAACAACAATTAAAAAAAAAAAAAAAAAGAAGCACTGATACCTGAGCACCCACTAGTTGCAGCAAGGCTGAGTTCACAGGAAGGAGTTCAATGTCTGTATTGATAGTGGTCTGGTCAAAAGGGCATGCCTTACGGTGGAGCTTGTTGAGGCACATCTTGCAGACAGTGTGGCCACAACCCAAGCTGATGGGCTTCCGGATTGTTTCGTCGAAAGTCTGTGTGCAAATCGGGCAGGAGAGAAAATCCGTCCATTGTGGAGCTTGTACAGGCATTGCTTCAGGAGTTAATTGACAGGACAAAAATCTAAAGCGCAGATTCCACTGGAATCAAAATCTTTGAAAAAGTCTGTTTATTTTTAAATATCTTCTGTAAGTACAGACAGTCAGCACATAGTGTGAAACATAACCTAAAAGAAAATGGAAACAGAAAATTAGCATTCTCTACTGGAACAGGCATGTAAAATCCTTTGTGCTAGGTAAATACCACTTGTAGAGGTATAGCTGAACTAGGAGTGCGGTTCTGACATTAAATACAGGACTGAGTCATGACTTGCTTTAATTCCAGCTAGTCTCTGGCACTGGAAAAGTGACTTAAAACCGCTTCTGCTGTTATGCAGGTTAAAAAAAAAATCAAGATAGATAACTAGCTCATTGAAGTTATAAGACTAATTAGCTTTTAGGTTTTATGTTCTCTTTTTTCTTTGCAAATGAGCCAATTAACATCAACTAGATTTGAATCAAAAAGACAATTTTTGAAGGGCTGTTTTGCTTATTCCACTAAAACATTTTGGGTTTTTTTTACAGTATTCACTGCGAGCTTTAAATAATTTTGCTTAGACAAGGCTTCATCCAAAACCTCTATCACAAGCAAGCCTTCTTCAGAGTTCAGTCATCTCTGGATTGGCACACAATGACTCTGCAGAAACATCTGAGCTGCTATAGCCTCAAGAAGAAATGGATGAATGGCTCAGGGTACAGGCAGACACCGTCTGCATGCAATACAGCTCATGTACAGTGCTAGGTAATACTACATACTGCTACTACAGCACCTTCACACAAACTGATCTGTACAGAGCTGCACAGTACCACATGGACTTATCCGCTCACATCTCAGTTACCCTGGGAACCTCCATGCATTACTGGGTATAGTTCAGCATTGATAGCTTGCCCACAGTCTGCCCACTGAAAGATTGATAACTTGCCCTCAGTCAGCTCCATTCCTGAAAAGCAGGAAGAAAATTTCTAGAAGTCATTTTGGACTAGAAGAGTGACAACTGTTTCTCAAGGACCCTTTTCTAACCCTGATTTATATCATTAATTGCCTACCTAGAGCTTATATTGACAGAATAAGTAAAAATTTTAACGCATTGAGAGATTACACAGATACACTACAATAGAGAAGAACCTGGGAGGTCTTTATTACTTGGCACTTTTGAATCAAAATGCTAAGAAGATCAAATGTTACTAATCATAAGGGAATGGAAGATAAGACATCTCTTTGGGACAACAAAAATTAAATAAAAGCAGAACTCCGCACGTGAGGAGAAATATAAGAGTAGACAGAAGAAGTGATATGAAAAGAATCATGATCAAAAGGAAAATTGGTAATAAAAAAAATTCTGACATCTGGCTTACTTTCTATCACCAGTGAAGTTAGCAAAAAACAGTGCAGGTCACACAGATTTACTACCAAACAGATTTTTCTAAATCAAGCAGGAAAACAACAACAACAAAAACCACCCCAACCACCCAAATGTGTTAGTTTCACTTTCCCACACACCATTGGCTTAGTTTTCATACCAAGGAGTGTGCACTTGCTTGCTAATATCTGTTCAGATACAAAGTTCTTATATAAGCAAAACAGCAACCTTTTATCAAATCTTAGCTTAAAATAAACCTCAAAATTAAAACTAAAACCTCAATTCTAAGTAAAGGCAAAGAAAGAAACTTCAAGTTAGGACTTGTGCAATTCAGAATCAAAGCATTTTAAAACAGCAACAAAAATCTAATGCTAAAACAGAGACTCTGAAAAGCCTCAGGCTTTTGTTCCAGAATTTAGTGCAATGTTGTTCACAAATAACATCATTTTGCCAAGGCAAACAACGAAGAGTTACTAGTTAAGCTTTTAGCCATGTTTCATCAACAAAACATTAAAGCTTAGTTCTAAAGCTACTAAGAAAATTTACTTCATCTTCAAAAGACAACATACAATGCCACACAGCCACTGTTTACCAGCCAACAAGGAATCAATAAGAAATCAATACTACCCGGACAGGGCGGTACTGAGGAAGAGGCATTGCATGTGGTTAATCCTACCACCACCATTGCACAACTAGAAGACCTGCCAAGGTTGTTCAGGGTCGTGTCCCGTCCCATCCCCTGCCCCAAATTACCTCTTTAATAGCAAATCAATTAATTTTTTTCATCTTGTCAGCAAACAGCCAAATCATTCCCATTACTACTGTATCATCATAACCCAAACAAAAACATTTATACTTGTAAGTTACTTGACTGAGCTAACTGCCTAAAATATCCAGGAAATTTATTTCCAAGCCTTTCCCACTCCCTGCCCCCTTATATATTTTTAAGTAAACCTTGGTATCAAGTATTCCAGCTAGAACCATTCTTTCTAAACCAAATCTGTAACAGAAATTACCTTGAAACGCCACAAAAAATCCTTCTGCAAAGAGCAGTACACAGCTTTATAAATCTAGTGTATGTATTGCTGTGCTATGAAATACCATTTGAGGTTCAAAATTTAAAGAGCTGAATCATATTGCTTCCTTTCCACCACACTGGTATTAAAATATCTACCAACAATTTCCCAGACTCATCTGCAATTCAGAAACAATTTGAACAGTCTATTTGAAACATTGATTATTAACCAAGCATTAAGGAAAAGAGCAGTTTCTTATTAACTGAGGAAATCTAAAACCAGAAGCTAACATGAAGCTACACCATCAACACTAAAAAGTAGATGTGGACATGGAGACTCCACCATCCCAGGCTCTGAACTAGAAAAAAAGGAGTTGAACACAACTTCAACATGAGTTAACTAATTAAAAAAAAATAAACAGAGACACATAGTTCCTACCTGTACCTCTGGCCACTCCAGACAACTAGCATAATGAAATAGGTCATATTTATTTACAATCTCAACAGGTGAAAGAGGAGTCTGGGGAGATAGGGAGGGAGGGAGTAATTAGTGGCATCCCTGAGCCCTTATCAAGGCAGGTCTCAGAAGGCTGGAGAACAACAGAAGTAAAGTTTACACAGAAGAACAATTCTCAGAAGGGTCCTAATGAGCCCAAGACTGGCACTGAACTGCCAGAATAGAAGGGCACATCACCCATGAATGGAAAACCCACAGCCCTGACTGTGGATATGCAATCACTAGAGAGGCACGTTTCACCAGCAGGTGACAGGTCCCCCTTACCCGTGCTGGACTGCTCTCCTACCCATCATTTCACCAGACTCTGCAGCGCCTGTGGACACATACTGGTGCCTAAATGGCAGACGAAGGCCACAGATAGCACTGACAATAGAAAATATGGCTGGGAGAAACCTCAGGAAGTCATCTATTTCAGAACAGTCTAACTGCTGGAACAGATGGCTACCTGGCTTAGATCCAGCCAATCTTTTCCCAACAGGAGAAAAGAATAGCTGTTTGAGCAACAAACCCTGCTCTGCTAATAAATCTCCCAAGCAGATCAGCACAGAACTGTGGAATTCCTCCAGTCCCGCGTAAGATGGGAATGGCATCACAGAGACTGACGGTTCACAAGCTACATGCATACAGGCTGGCACCAAACCAAGTACTGCTGCTGCCGCCACACCTTTCCACACATATGGTCCAGTTTTCCTGCAGGATCTTCAATCTTCAGACAAGGAAGCAGAGTCAAGTGCTGAGATACAACATAAATGTCTCCCAGGCACAAAGCATACAGATGGGGTATACATGTAAGAAGTGAAGCTAGGAAAGATGTGCGCCTTTTTGGAAGGTTTGTGACTTGCTATGACCTTGGAAATAACTGGAAACAAAATATTCTCTAACTTCAAAGACCTACTTTAAATGAGAGATTGCAAGCAGCAATAAAATGATGGAAACAAGACAGTTTCATTATTACAGACAGATAACCATCATCACTAAAGAGAACACTTCCTTGTACAGGTAAGGTAGAAAAAGCATGTCCATACTTTCATGGTACAACGCTTTTTTTTTTTTAATGTTTCTCTCCAGCATTATGCCAGAGGTGAGCAAAATGCAAAGAATGCAAACATTTATAAAAGACATACCCATTTAAATAAAATCTCCCTTCCCATAATATTATGACATTTTTAACCCACCCTCTCAATTTGGTATTTCACACATACTAGCTTCCAACACTAACTATATATATACACACACACACTTCGTGCATGATTGAATGAAGACATGCCAAAACCCAAGAAAACAAAAAACTAAGAGAGACACATCCACAGTACATAAATTGGAAGACAAGAAGCTGTAATTAAGCATGAAGATGCCCCAACGCATATAACTTGGATAGTAAATTGGGACCAGAGACATTTGTGTTTCCTTATTTCTGAGTCTGAACATATAAAATACCTGTATGCAAGTCTCCTTCTGCTTAGCCCTGCATAAGCTGTTTTTATCCACAGCTAGAAGAACCTGAAAAAAAAATTCTCCTCTCTTCTGGGCCCTCCCCCACCTCCCAAGAAATCCTTGAAATTCCATCCTTCAACCCAGACTGGAAATGTCATGCTGTAATCATATCAGTGACCCGTCTCCTCTGGGATCCTGCCAGTGCTTCAGAGAAAGACAGGATCATTCTATAAACCACCTGGACAACTGCTCAACACTTTATCGCATTCCTTACTCTGCTGGGCTACAATGCAGAGCGGTAACACAGCCTCCTGTCCAACTGTGTTATGTCTGTGATGGCCAGAGCCTTCCACACGTAGCTAGAAAGCTTTGCTTTTCGACCCTTGAGAAGATGTTTTTAAAATGCAGAACACTGTACCAATATCCACTGGCATCAAGTTTCACACATGATGACATACAGGAAAACTCTTCTGCTTTCAGTTAAAATTCAACTCCCTTTAAATTAATCACACTCTCAGAGTCCTTCAGTACAGGTACCAAGTATATACCGACTTCCCTCACAAACATATTATTTGGACCTAACGTGTACTAGCGTAAACATATCATGTGCCACTTTGTCATGCACAAGTTAGCACTGATCTTTCCCAGCTGATCTTTCCCAGCAGCAGTCCACAGTAAGTCACGTTACAGTTTAAGGCAGATGACTCAGCACACCTACAGGGCACCCTCTGCTCAGTTTCTGCCATTTCAGTATATACAACTCTTAAGAGCATTACCTGCTCCTGTGTTTTTACCTATCTCTCTACGGCATTTCACTAAGCTTTTCTTAGCCAAGCAATATCATCATCTTCTTGACATTTGAAGATCAAAATTCTGAATAACACTAATTTTTATTGTCTGCTTTTATTTTAGTCCTGAAACTGTTTCATTTATGCTGAGCCTTACTCAGAAATAAAACGAGCAGAACTTCCTGTAACAGTTAACGTATAAGTAAGCCTATTCAGTGCAAAACTTAACACTAAAGCAGCTCCTCACTGCCAAAACAAACTCAGGCTTGCCAACCGATCTGCTCACACAAATACAGTTCCTGGCTAATCTATAATTTAATCTAATAAAATACCATTTGATTAATTCTTTTAAAGACTCTTACTCCTTGGTAGTAACATAAAAATTGCTGAGAAAAAGTAACCTAGCCAAAGATGCAATTCTCTCTCCTGTGGGACTGGTTCTGTGATACATTAACAACTTTGAAACCTCTCTGACACGAGATGAAAAATAAACCAACAACAGAACAATTCATTCAATAAATGAACAGATAATAGTAGAACAATTCCTAACTAAACAGGATTACCAGATACCCACAGTGCAATCCTACCCAACAATTGGACCTCTCCATACTTGCCTAGCGCCAAACAGACACCACTAATTATCACCAGTGCTTCACAGGATCTATTTAAGTAAATAAGTTTTCCATTCCAGTGCGCTCTATGTAATAAACAGCATTTCTGAGAACACTGAAGTATCTTTCCTCTCTTTCCTGAGGAGAGGTGCAGGACCTAATACTTTAAAAAGTCCTGAATTTCATTTTAGGGAAAAACTGACCGGACAACCCACGGGAAACCCTGACCAGCCAGCAGTAATGGGTTGTTTATAGAGACTCAACACTTTGTTCTCAAAAGGCATGCTGAAGCCCCATACTGCCAACTTCATGGTTCACAGAAAAGGATAAATCATGCTAGCTGTGTTTTCCATATCCAGTTCCACAGAAAAATGTCTGAAAAAATTAAAGAGAGAGAGAAAGCCCACGCCTGATCAGAGAAGAGTAGGTAGAAGAAAAAGCTTCTTACCTCCACTCAGGGAGCTCCATGAACACTAATACAATAAGCCCAGAATAGTATTTGCAATAGATTGAATTTTTTTCCCCTCCTGTTTGCTCTCTGAAACTTCGCTGTACACCATCAACTGACGGCAAGTGCTTCAGTTCCTCGTTCCTCCTCTGCGCTGCACGCATGCCTGCTTGCATGCACACTCCCCAACACCGCTGAACACTTGCCCAGAAGACAGAAACAAAAGAAATTCCCACCCAACAGCAAATCCTGGAAGTTTGTCTGTAACACACGTTCCCACCCTTCTTTCAAAGCTGCATAAACACCAACAGGCTTCAGCGGCCATATAATAAGTCTCTTCAAAAAGAAAAAGAAAAGAAGATAAAATCATGAACACCATCAAAATTCTGTCCCAAACTCACTGAAGCTCAGTAAAATCAAATTCAAGATTTGCTTTCTTTTATCCTCAGTAATTCTTATTTTGACTGTGAAAACAAAGGAAGAAGTTTATCTACTTTCATGCAAAAGTCTCTTATTTGGTAGTCTGTGAAGTACCTTAGGAAAATGGGACCACTTAAGCACAAGATGTTATCCCTCATTTGAAACTTCCTGGCTTGTAACAACACAAGGGAAACAAACAAACAAACAAACAACCACCTCCCTACCCCCCCCCCAACCGACCCTCCCCATC